CCATATTTTTTGCTTCTTCTGGAACTGATGGATCATCAAGATTTGGCCAAGTAATACGTACACTTTTAGAACAATCAAGCATTCTTCTAAGACTATTTCCAATTCTACTTTTTAAAGTCATTTTTAATTGAGCATTTCTTTCTCTAATTCCTTGTGCAATTGTTTCCATTACTTCATTATCATCAAATACATTTTCTTTCATTATAAAGAAGGTTAAATAAAAATAAAGACAATAATCATCTACAGTATTTTTCTCAACAAACTCTGCTTTAATTAACTTTGGAATATTTAATCTTTGATATGCAATGTCAATACATCTTTGTATGTTCTCCAAATGATTATCTGTGAAAGATGTTAAATTAATTAAATCATTTTGAAGATAATTAATTAATTTTGCAAATAAAATACCTTCTGATAATTCCTTTTTAAGATCAAAACTATTGTCTTCAATTTTAAGAATTGATTTAATCCATTTAGTAAAATCAGTCATTTTAACAGGACAATCTATTTAATTTAATAACAATTTATTAAAAATCTAAGATAAAAATAGAAATAAACTTCCAAGTCTATATTTACTCAATATTTGATACATAAATGATAAAATTCCTTTCTTTTCTCCATTAAATATCTCTTCTGCTGATGTTAACACTTTAATCCCTTCATCTTTTGCAAACTGAATTACTGCACCTAGGTTTTGTATTTTTTCAATATCTTTTGATGGTGTTTCAATAGTTTTAAGAACTTCTTTACCACTTATATTCGTTAAAAACCGAATTAAAATTAACCCATCTTTGAGATCTGTAAGTATATCATTTACAAATGGTTCTTCAATAAGAATATAATTGATAAAATTTGTGTATGCCTATAATTTAATTATTCTTTGTTTTCTTATAATCTAATCGTTTTAACAAATAAAACAAACATAAAGTTGTTGTTCTTCTAAAATCTTTGTTTTAGATGCAGCTTTAGTGAGTACTGAATCTGACATGAAACAAACACTCAAGTAAATTAATAAGTACATAAGAACCCTTTTTCACTTCCTTCTTTTGTTCATTTCCTTGTAGAATTTTCTGTAATTGCTATATAAAACATTGACTGATTTAAATTATTAGAATTAAAATTATTATTAATTTTTATTAAGAGAAACTTTTCCAGAATAAAAAATAAAAACCAACAATGAAGTTAAAAGAATATGGCTAAGTTTCATTTGTGTGGCTCACTTGTTTTTGTTTATGACAAACTAACATAAAATATTATTATTAATAACAAAAACAAAGAATACAATACTGTCTATTAATACAAACAATACCAAATTCTTATAAAAATCAATAACTGTTTTTAGTTAACTATTTAATTAACTCCCTTATTTTTTGTGTTTTGAATAAATAAAGTGCGTTATTGTAAATACATTAATTCGCTGTTTATTTTTTTGAGACAAGATATTTAAGATACTTGAAACTATTTCTTTTACTTCACATTAATTCATTCGTACACTTCTTCAAGTTCTGAGAAATTAACGCGGGTATAGTAACTCTTTTCACTCAAACTCCAACAAATTTTTCAGTCTTATTAATAATAGTGATAACTTAGCCTTTCTTCATATCCTGATTGAACAAACCCCTCTTTTATGAAAACTAAACGTTGAAAGTTTTAAATTAAAGTACACGTAAAAGTTAAATACGAAACTACTTGTGACACCCTTTGCATCTACCATATTTCTTGATACCATAAAAATATTTCTTTGAAGATTGGGATATGAACTATTTTTCATTGCTTTATTATATATTTGATTGAAGATAACCAATTCTTATTTTAAACAAATAAAATTTTGATAAAAACGAACTTGTACTAACTCTCACTAAAAAAAGGATTGGGACAATATAACATAACTTATACTCTCTTTTCTACACACAATTTAAGTCATGTTTTATTTATTGCTTTGTATTAACACTAATACAATTTATCTTGATCGTAATAACACTAACATAATTTTCATGTACTTTAAGTGTTTTTATCTTTAAATTACTCTCAAATCTTATCTTTTCAAGTTGATAAACTCAACACAAAATACATTCTCACTACATTCTCTGTATTTTGCTCTTTGTTCCAATCAAATTTGACTTTGAAGAGTAACAACAAGAATAAAATATGCCTTATTACACTTATTTGAGTTTCTTTTAACTATGTTATATCATTATTCTAAAGATGAATAAATTTCAAATAACAATAACTGGAAAATTTAAAAGAAATGAACTCACAACAAGTACAACAATATAAAGAGGAACAAAGAAGGTTTGTTATATGGTTGTAATACAAAAACCAAAGAGTAGTAATAAATTAGACAACAAGAAGAACAAAGACAACAAATTATTGATTCTGTTCTTGAACCAGCAGCAAAAGAAAGACGTTTGTAATGTTTTTTTGTATTTCATTTAAAATGGGGATTAACTGTAAGTTGCTAGTATTGCTCTTGTTAAACCAGAAAAAGCAAGACAAGTAGGTGATATGATTTTGATGATGTGTCAACGTGGACAAATGACTGGAAAAATCAATGAGGGTGGATTAATTTCAATGATTGATCAAATCAATGAAAGTAAGAATGAAACTAAAGTCACTTTAATGCATAAAGGAGACGATGAATTAGATGATATTAATATTGATGATCTTTAACTTCAACTCTTTTCATTCATTTTTATATAATATTTCTTATTGTCATAATACATCTATTATAATAATAAAAG